TATATATATATATATATATATATAATAGTTTAATAAAATTATCTTTTTATAACAGGTAACATATTTATATGAAATTCGTAAAATCCTACAAGATGAAGCCATGATATTATTTTTAGGAATTTAATGATGGAATAAGTTATATTAAATAATTTTTAAATAGTGAATAGTTTATGAATATCATTAGAAAACCTTATTAACTTATTCCAGAGAGCTGATTAATACAAAACTTCACGATTTAAAATAGGTAAAAAATACAAATTAATGTTATATCCAATTAGGTATTTTTTTTCTAGTTTTATTTTAATGACTTACAAATGACACTATGAAATTAAAGGTGTTAAATGCATTAAAATTAAATAAATCCACTATGTATTAAATAATTAATAAATTATTCTTCTCATTCTTAGAAAACATTAAAACATCAAGCGACAAAAATAATAGGTTCTTAGTTAATAACAACGAGATATATTAGTTAATAAATACGAGAAAGTACACACACGAGAAGGTGTTTTTGTTATTATTATTTTACATATATCAAAACAAATTTAATCTCCGTAAAATTTAAAATTTTGTATTTAAAAAAAATCATCTATTTTAATTTGAAAATGAAAATTTTAATTCTGAATCACGTCAGTTAGATTTATAAAAAAATTGAAAATAAAATTTAAATTAACCATAGAGCTAAATAATAAGTAAACAGACAAAAGTATTTTGATTAATTAAAAACTAAAAAAGTATAGAATATTTAACTGGGATTGTAAAAGTAAAAAGTGTTTGGCAAATAATCTCGCGTATCTTTAGTTTTTTCCCAGAGCCCGAGAAGAAAAGCTGGAGAAGGAAAAACACGTGCAAAGCTCAGTGAATCTGACAACCCACACGAGCGGTTCTTGTATTGCATGCACACACACTCACTCATGTTTTGTTTAATGTTTTTTTTTTCCTTAAAAAGCGAGAGAGAAACTGAAACAGTGGACCCACTAATCTCATTTTTCCACAGAAGAAAGAAGAAAAAGGCTGAACTTTCATCAATGGAAAAAAAAAAGAAGTAAGAAAAAATATAATTTATAATTTGCTTGAACTCTTCTTTAAAACCTTGTCCTTTTATTCTGGTTCCTGTGTCTTCATTCTGAACACCATTTGTCTCTTCTTTCACTCTCTCTTCTGTGACTCATCAATGGCTGGCCCAGGAGAGGGAATTCACAGTGGCCATGAATGAATATCTTTTTTTTTTTTTTTTTTATCTCAGTGAGTTTCTTTTCTCACCCATCTAGCGTTTTTTCTTTTCTGCATATTCAGTTTCAATGAGTAACTCACTACACTTGAGGAATGGTGGTAGTGGATTCAGTGCTGAAATGAATGTTTTCCCTTTAGCTTCTGTTCCTGTTCTTGCTCTCCAGTGTTCAAACACTTTGGGGTTCATGGGTCATGTTGGAGGAACAGAAACTGAATGTTCTGACATGCCCTTTAAGAATTTGAACTCCTCACTGATCCAACACCAGGAGAAAGAAGAAGAATGTTTTGGGATTCAGAATAAGGACTTGTCTTTGAGACCTGGTGAAGAACTTGAAGCTAAGGGTTCTTCATTCACAGAGAAAATTAGACAGACCAAGCTTTGTGCAAGAGGACATTGGAGGCCAGTTGAAGATGCCAAACTTAAAGAGCTTGTTGCACAATTGGGACCTCAAAATTGGAACTCCATAGCAGAACATCTTCCTGGAAGATCAGGTAAATGACAGTTTTCCTTTTTAGTGGACTGCTATGTTTTGTGATAACAGATTTTTTGTGCTGAATGGGTTATTGCAGGAAAAAGTTGCAGATTGAGGTGGTTTAATCAGCTAGATCCTAGAATTAACAGAAAGGCTTTCGGTGAGGAAGAAGAGGAGAGACTCTTGAATGCTCACAAAGTGTATGGTAACAAATGGGCCATGATTTCTAGACTCTTCCCTGGTAGGACTGATAATGCAGTGAAGAACCATTGGCATGTGATCATGGCTAGGAGGCAAAGGGAAAAGTCATGTGTCTTCAGAAGGAGAAAACCCACATTTCAGATCCTTCCACCAAAGGATTTGGATTTGATCTTGCCAGTGAATGGAGGCAGTGAATCAACCATTTCCAGCACCATCATTGATGAATCTGCCTCAACAGGAACTAACCTCTCCTTCACACCCTCTCTAGCCAAACCAACTCCTCTGCCTTTCCTAAACCATTGTCATGTTCAGAATCTGCAAACTTTTGGTGGTTCTCTAATGGGTATGATTTGCTCTTCCATGTAAACATTACAAACCATGGAAGACTTTAAATTGTATTATTAGGTGATATAAATTGTATGACTCTAATTGACAAATATTGAGAGCACTGTATAAGTTTGTCCATGAATTCAATGATTTTCTTGTTCTTGTTTAGTATAACATGTTTAATTTATGTTGCAGGTTTATCTGGAGAAGGCAGAAAAGCACTGAGAGAAGTGAGTTTTGGCATGTATTTTGGTGGTTGGAGGGATTCATTTCAGGTTGGACACATGGAAAGGCTAATGCGTGTGGATCAATCTAATTATTCAGAGTCAAACTCATCAGAAGTTTCG